ATCCAGGAGAATGTGAAGGAAGTTGGGGGGTCGGGGAATGTAGTCAAGATTGTATGCCCACTCAGGAATTATAAAACGCCTTTCACGTAGGGCAGCCGATTCCACTTGACTCTGCCGGATTACATGCCTGTGGTTTTCTTATGCAGTCCTTTCAGTCATTTCATCACTCACCATGTTGGTTGGTGTGAAGTTGATCTTGATTTATCCTAATGCGTCTTTGCCTCAATAAGCAGCAGGTAGTATACAGAGGCCAGTCACCGCAGGTTATCTTGCATTCTGTCATGGTCAGCGAGGCCTGTATGTGGTTTATGAGCTGCTGAAGGAAATGACTAAGCGAATTCAGTGCTTAGCCTGGATACAATGCGCCTTTACGGCACTCCCACTTACATAGAATTTGAGTAGCCCCTGTCTTGTTTCTGCGTCAACCAGTCGTTTGTGGCATGCGCAGACGGGCTGTTTAGCCTTGCCAGTTGCTTACGCCCGATCCTCCCTCCGGTACTCCTGACCGCGGCTTGGCTGTGGCTTAGGTGGGTGAGGGAGGATAGAGTACGGTAGATTCAGCTCAAGTCTACTATCATTTTAGACTAGCCCACACGCAAGTCACTTACCCTGCGTCCATTCTGTTGTGGGACACACAGTAGACATCGCCAGTATCCATTTTGACTCACTTGTGAAAAACCCGGCGACCTCGGTGGGATTCGAACCCATGACAGCAAGGAGGAGACTTTAGTACACTCAACACTCTAACCAACGGGAGACGGTTCAACGTGGGGGGGACAATGCTGCCAATGCCCCATGTCATCATTTTAAGAGCAGATTAAGTTGGAAGTCTTCGAGTTCGCCGCAGCACAAGTAGCAAAGAGAGCACGGCGTGAAGGATTACTTCTAACGTGAATCAGCCTCTTCTACCTGCCTGCACGGTGTTTGCACATTTTTGGTCCAGGCTGTCCTGATTGTTCAAATGAGTGCATCTACATCTGTGGTAGAAGTGCGTTCGTTAATCAGGTTACGTGACGCGTACGTCTCTTTACGACTTGGAACGTAACCTACGGCCCTTTGAGACGGTCGCATAGCGTCATATTATAGACGGAAGAGTACCGAAAGCGAAAAGGAAGACTGAAATGAACATTTATGGCTTATTAGCTGTCGCCAGTCCACCTTGACCAACCACGGGCGAGTTAGCCATTTGGTTGTGATCGAGAGTATTACCTGAGGTGGAAGTGTGTTAGCGGATCAGTCTGCGAGACGTGTTCTTCCAGTTGTGCTTTAGGGCGCACAGTCTCTAACGTAATTCATCTTGTCGCAATTATGTAAACGTAGGAGTACACGACAAGGAGAAGGGTAGCAGGATCGAATCCCACATTCTGAGGAACTCAGGGGTTGGGTAAGGCTGGTTGACGACGGATTATAAGCCAGACGCGGTCATCACAGTCTCCATTGAGTTTGTCGGTATTCTTACTTCAACATGCAGTTTTAATTATCAGACGAACCGGTCAACCACGGACCACAACACTCACTCCGCCCCCCCCCCCCGGTAGGATATATGTCACCAACATGGAACACAACCGGCGAGGCGTTAGCTTTAGCAATTTCTAGGTATGCATTCTGTCCACACCGCTTCTTGCAACCTTGTTCCCGGACATGCCACGTGCCCAAAGTCTACCGAGAATAAGCGTACCTGCTGCTGTAATTTCGCGCTAAAACGCAGCAGCAACAACAACAACAACAGGCCACGCCGTTAACTTGTTTTGCAGCAAAAATAATGAAAACAGTGTCAACGTGTTTGTACGGACAACAGCGGACTCGTGGCACACACACACACTCGGGCGCATCGTAGCCCCGACCGCCATTGCCTAGCCCGCAAACGTAAGTTGACAGGGGTAGTCATTGTTAATTACGAAGGAAGAATTTGGTAAGCAACATCAGAAGACAGAGATCTTGTCTATTCAGGGTTTACCCTGTCGTAAATACCGACAATCCACTTAAAGTGCTCTGGTATGGGGGTCGGTTTTTATTGAAATCAATGAGCGTCTTCATAATTTTTTCCTGGATCTTGATTTTTTATGAGCATCAAAAAGCGTCTGAACTGTGACAGTGCAAGAGAATTCAGGATATCCCACGGCGGTTGTCAAGGTTTTGAAGCTGCAAGCGTACCACATTTATGGCATCAAACAGAGTTTGTGATATCTACCCCCTTACTTTGCCTTGTGCGTTTAAGAGCTTTTGACCCCCAGGTGATTTCTGTTTTGAGGATACTACTGCTACGTGTCTCAAAAATAACCGATTACTCATTTGTCACTCATATTATCATGGGATGTCCTTGGCATTTGGATTTCTTGGCAAGTATGACTCACCTGCTATAACTTCGTGTCCGATTATCAGTGAAACAGACGTCGTTACTAATGTTCCCGTACTAAGTTGCATTATGACCGACGAAAGTAGGTGAAAAATAGCCTTCTAGTAACTAGTCTGCTTTTATTAGTACTGTCATCTGTTGTCATTGCGGTGGTTGCGTTTACTGGCGTCTGTCTGGTCATCCACTCTTATGCTCAAACTTGCAAATGATTCACGTTATGAATTTAGCAAATCTACTAGTCATTTTACTGGTCCATATTGAGAAATATCGGGCCTTGGAAAGGGACAGACCTGATCACTGGAATCAGAGCATAAAAGCTGAAATATCAGTTGGAGACATCTGTGAATCTAGGTCCTTATTTAAATCTCCTTTGCTGGCAAACTGGACTTATAAGGGTTCTTAACCAATTTGGCTAGCTCTTACGTAGTGCAGTAGCGGCCTGCTTGTGGGTGCCAATGTTGCCAATGACTGCCAATAACGCTGATTCTGAAGAAGTAGTATTCGTTACCCCGCAGAGGGAATCAATAAATGCATCAAACTAGATTCTAACGGATACAGTAATTTACAGTCATAAACTGGCGTATTCTGTAATGTCCGCAAACCAGCCAGCGATCAGAAGTCATTTTCCTGGTATTCAAATAGAGCCACTGTCTATATAGTTTAAGGAATCACCAGTTTAGCATACATATTTACATACAGAAGGCCTAACGACAAACATGAGATTGCGATGACCATTTATGGCTTATTATTCGTTGACAGCCAGTCATACCCAACCGAAGACTTGGGTAACCTGACATTCGAATCGAGACTTTTAGTCTTTTGAGCGTTAGGTTCAACTCTCTGTAAGACGGTCCAAACTTGGGATGCGGTATTGCCGGCTGACAGCGACTACTAAATCAGAGGCGACCATCCAATCTCCCTTGTCTTTGTCGGTGCGCCTTCTGCATCAATACTGGTTGCTATGCGATGCGATGCGGGGGCTCTATTTTAAGCAACATGGGGCAACGGGACGAGAATGTTCGACAGCCTGACCGGTGATCAACTCCCCTATCATGTATACCATAATTAACATTCCCGATCACAACCGACGGGACGGCGAGCCCGTGGCTCATTGGCAGAGCGTTCGACTCAATGACCAAAGATGCCGGGTTCGAATTCCACGTGGTTCACACTTTGGATTGCTTATGACTGGAAGGCCTTAAGGTCTTAAAGCCAATAAAACCATGGTTCTTGTGATCGCATTAACTTCTCATGTATATATATATATATATATATATATATGCAGAATGATATTACCGACCAAGACAAGGGAGACTGGAATGGCCATTTCTGGCTTATTAGCCGTCGCCAGCCAGTCACACCCAACCCCGAAGTGTGGCACACCCGAGGCTCGAACTCGCGACCTGTTTGTTAGAAGTCCACGCCTCCAACCACTGAGCCACGAGCCCGTTGCCCTGTCGGTTTTCGATCGGGAATATACAATGATAGGGGGCGCTCACCGATCGTTCATACGGAACTCACTCGTTCCGTTGTGCCTTATGGACTCTCTCTCGAGCCCAACCAGCAGCCGCACAGCGGCGCATGATATATAAACAGAATGATATTATCGACAAAGACAAGGGAGACTGGAATGGCCATTTCTCGCTAGACTAGTTCTGCAAGCAACCCCGATATTGTCGAGCCCATTTGGGATACCCCTTACTTGTTGGTAGTACTTTTAATCGAACTGACAATAATTCTTGAGGCAAAGCTGAAGCATGTCTGGAAAGTGCTTTGCGGGAATGCCAGTGGATCTTTTGTAGGAAAGCCTAAGAATTTTTGATGTATATATATATATATATATATATATATATATATACATCCATACTTGTCCCAAGTTGCCATGCATACGTTGGAAACGGGCCACAAATTCGCATGGGACAGGACTTGCATTGTTGGTGTTTGCTCATCAAAAAAGGGCCGTGAATTTTTAGAGGCCATCCATTCTGACAGCGCGTGCATCAATCGACACGTAGAATTGGATACGGTGTACAACGGCCTCAAAGAAAAGTGGAAAAGGCGTTAGCCAATCAGAACATCACACCAGCAGGAGTAACAAGGCAAAATCGATTTTTCGGCATGTTTAAATGTTAACTATGTTGCACACTTACTTCACGTCTGAAGACGACTTGGGGAACCAAGTTCGGAAATTTACAATAAAACTTGTTTAATATTTCCCAAAGAGCTGTTTTCTTTCGAATTATGATTCTTGGGATGCCTGTTTTCCAATATATATATATATATATATATATATCAGGAATGGGCGCACACCGATCTATTGGCTTCACAAAGCAAACAAGCTCAGTATGTGTGGCAAAGGTCACGAACAGGCAACCAATTACCAGGCCGAAGTCGGCCAAGTCATAATAGCAGCGAGGAGGGACGACAGAGAATGCGGGTAGATTGATACAGTACTTTTTCGGGTTTATTGTCCCTCCTCTCTTCGTGGACAGTGATGTCACTGAACACCATCTTGTTCAGGATTGGGCATGCTAATATCAAGCTTATTGAATGTTTTTAACTGTTGATCGCTACGTATCCCGCCCTTCAGGCCACTTTTTTGTTTCTTATTACCGTAGTGAAACACAAGGTCCTCTCGAAGCAGATGACGTTGATGCAGCTGAAAAGTGAGACTCTGAGAAAACGGCGAGCAGAGCTTACTGCCTTTGCCAGGCAGCAGATAAGTATCCAGAAAGCCAAAATGCGAGCTGAAATGAAATCCAGGGAGAACGCACGTCGTGCCAGCCGGATACCGGCTATCACCGTTAACGCCGCAGACATTGCGTTAACGGCCGAAGACATGGCTATTATGGAACAGAAGCTTATCACTAAGTTTGGAAATCGGAGTTCCATGTTCCAGGAAGTGGAAAAGTTCCTAAATGCTGATACGGCAGCCATGGAGGCCATGGCTAAAGCACTCGGATCAGATGAACGAGCGCAGCAGTTTGTGGGTGCCATAAAGCGACCAAATTACCTATTGGAATTCCTTCAGCACAAATTTGGCGGGCTAGATCGAGTCTTTTCGTTAATCGATTCGGCCACTCTGGGTGACTTTGATGCAATTCACACAATGTCTCGTGCAGTCGGCGAGGATACCGACGCCATTGTTCGGTTTGTGGCTTTCATGGAGAAAACTACCTTTGCGGCCGCCAACTGTTTGCAGACAAAAGCTCGAAATTTTCCCTACGTGGAAGACTACATATCACTGCTGTTGAAACGAGACTGGTCTGAATCCGAGCTCAAGGACTTAGCGAACGGACGATACAAGGAAGAATCACAACCCGGTGACCTTTCGATCACCAATCCTCTTACTACCATCGCAACCAGAATGAGTGAGGAGATGCTTTTTAAGTTCTACAAGGCCCTAAAAACCGCCGACTACGAGTTCTTTACTAAAATCGGAAACGTGAAATTCGAACAAGACATTCCCCGTGACAGCCACAAGCAAGTCGATCCTTATTTTCTTGTGATGATCTCCGCAGGAACTTTGATTTATCAGAACTTTTGCAGCCAGTAAAATAAGATACATTTGAATTTATAATACCATCGAAAATTGACGTGGAAAACACATGCTGATTAAATAGTCATTTATTTACCGAGTACGGTTGCTACAGGAGATCGAAAAGAAGTGCATCCAAGGCAGACATCCTGTCGAGTCCGAAATACTGTACGATTATGCCGCAATATAATATTTCTTAGAGCCCCACCTATGTAATCCTTTCTAATCGGAAACGAATTACAAAATTTCGGCCAACATTTCACGAGATCGGTCACTCACTGTGTTTATATGATTGCACTAAACAGGTGACGACTGTAAAAATTGTTCAGTATTGGTCTTCAATTAGTCAACTGACCTCCGCACAATCCAATTTTTCTTTTAGGTCAGATGTAATAGGACAATTTACTGACGTTGTAGTACTTTAACAACATTAACCAGACCCCAACGCCTGCCCACCACAGCGAGAATTGCATACCTTTCGGTACTTCTCAAAATACCGACAAGAATCATCTGCAGATCTCCCTGGGGTTAATGTTTTACTAAATTTACTCGTCAGACAGGAAGACGGTTGACGCCGTCCTATAAGTGCCAAATTACAGAGCAATCTTTATCATTACTTTCTGTGTGCTCAAGGCTCCATACTTTCTTCTCTGAGTCATAAAAGTACGCATATCAAATACAAAGCTTACTGGTTGACTTAACTACTCCAAATCAATATCTTTCACAAAATGACGCGATGCCAGTTATTTGAGGTCAAACATCCCGACCTAATGTCATGCATAAACGAAAAGGGTGGAGCGGTCAGCCGGCCACATACTTTTCAAGGACTGATTTCCCAAGACCGACATAAAAGATGTTTGCTTTAACTCTTATAGGAGAAAAACAAGCAACGATGATGGTAATACCTATGCTGGAGTGCTGGCAGACATGGAAAAGCCAGAAAACCGTTTTATTCTACGTCCCCAAAACGAACTTCTCAAGCAACTTGCCGGTGCCACGACCTCAATACCCCTGATAGCCAGCAACGAAGACCACTTGCCCACAGAAGTATCCCGGTACTTTGCTCAACTTGTCTCGAGAGCCCAATTAGTGATGGCTGCATCAATAATCATGGAAGCCACGACCGAGATCTCACCCCTGGAGGAAATATCGGAACTCGTCTACAATGTACTTACAATGCTAAACAACGCCGTCTACCACCTAAAGAAAGCTGGTGGTGGGAGTATTGACGAGCAAACTGCATATACAATTGCCCTGGAGGTTATGAGGGGAAACATAAATGAGGCCTATCGAGTGAAAATGCTAATGGGCTCAAAGCTGGGTGGTCATCTAGTGCACTGCATACAAGTGGCACATGGTCGTCTGCTGGATCGGATTCTTCGCTACGTGCTGTTGACTGACAGAAAAGACGATCTGGACCATTTGCTTGGGGAGTATCTGGACGCATATAACCAGCAGCCTATGCAACAGGGACTTATTCACCGTTGGCTCACCTTTGCTGCTCTCGCTTTCAAGCTAGCTCATGAGGTGGGTATCGCTCCCAGCATCCCAGCCCTCATCAGGTCTTTTCAAAGTTCAAAGTTCTTCCGAGAGGCCGGCATCCCCTATGCTGCGAAGCGGATGCGCGTTAAAGCAGACGCTCCAATTGGGTCGCACCGTTTACGCAGTGAGTACAGACCAAAGATGTTCATTACACGAAAGCTGTCAAAGAGGAGGACCAAAAAGCGTCCAGGGCAAATGGTTCGGGTGGAAGAGCTGGAAGTAAAACGCCTCAGCATAACAGAGGATGAGAAGAAAGAACTGGCGGAGGAGAAGGCGGTGGCGAAGATCCCACCGATAACTCGCACGAAGGTGGATTTGAATGAGGAAGATATTTACCACCTTGAGTTGCCCAAAACTCAAACTCTCTACAAGATTTCGGATATGAAGGAGATCGAGCTTACCGCCAGCACTCCCTTAAGCAGATATAAAAAAGGGAAGAAAATCTCCGAGGGAGTTTCATTTGATGAAACAATGAAAGAAGCATGGGAATCTCTTGCTCAATTGCAGAGTGAGTGGGGTGTTCTCTTCCTTTTCCTTTCTTTTCTTCTTCTTCTCCTTCTTTTTCCTGCTCGACCCATTTGCTTTCCTTCGGTAATTTTCTGTCACGGATTACGATAAATGCTTAGACTACAGTTTGAAAAGAAGTCGAACCACTAACAGTCACTCTGAGCAATACGCTCTAAACAGCGTGCTATTAAGGACTTCCCTCTCCCCTTTATCTATATTCGTAACGGACTGAGGAAAAGTCCTGTTGTTTATGTTGATATGGGAGTACAGTACGATGATGCGCAAGCCAGCAAAAAATCCAGTGGTCTGGGATGATGGACCTGAAAGGTTATCTGAGCAGGACTCCCGCAGGTCGACTAAAAAGTGTCTATGCGGTCGCGGACGAACATATACGTATGTAGTTGTACATAAGGGCGCATAAAAATTCAAGAGCAAAAAATAATAAAGCGTTCATCATCCCCAAAAATGAAGGAGGAGGAGGAGGAGGCAAGGAACACTGGACGCGTCTTCCAGGTAAGAAGTAACCACCCCGTTATTCGCAAGCGCAGTAGTGTCAGAGCTCTCTCCCAACGGCTTCAAGCACACTGCAGTGACGAGCGCGGAAAGAAAGACGCGAGATAACCGCAACTTCTAGTCATCGTCAACGTACGCCCGACGTCTTTCATTAGCATGGGCCTCAAAAGTCCTTGATTTGAGCAGTTGAGGAGTAAAAAACCGAAATTCTGACGCGATCCCGTACGCGAAGAAAGTTTTGGAGGTCACGGTTGTAACTCTGAAGCCTTTCGGGATTGATGTGGCTCATTAACCGGAATGTGCATTAGACAGAAAATAATGAGATCGGAAGACTCGCTACCAGCAGCGAAATGGTAGTGGTCTACAGCATACTATTATTAGGACGAGACTCATCGGCGCATCGCCCCCTCGCAATCCCTGTTGCCGCAGATCGGGTAGTAATGTGCGAACACAGTTCCGATGGCATCACGAAGCTAACAAGCTCCAAAAAACTGACTGCGTTCCCGAGGAGACAACCGACTGGCAGACCGAACTCAGCAAAGCTAATGATAACAGGGTAAATGTGCGCTCACAACTTATGTATATGCCGGAGGGGGGGGGACACCGATCGCGTTATGGGACACACTCGGCCCGCTTTGTGCCTAGGGGCACAAGCTCGAGCCCCACCAGCAGCCGCACAGCGGCTAGTAGTACAGGCAGAATAAGCTAAACGAGTGTGTCCCGTAGTGATCGGTGAGTGCCTCCTCAGCATTGTATGTACAGAATGGCATCCGTTAGGAAAACAAGGCCTTGGCTCAGTGGTTATATGTGTGTATAATTGAGATAGTACCAACAAGGACAAGGCCATCCCGGTCTCCCTTGTCTTTGCCGGTACTATATCATTACGTCTACTACTAGTCGTTGTGCGACTGCCAACGAGAGTTCCAGTATGAATCCCAAAACACAAAGGAGCAAGCACGTTCCGTAACCTGAACGGTGAGTGCCCATCTGTCATTACATACTTATATATGTACTGGAATATGGGCATCCCAAGGAACATAATTCGAAGAAAAATGAGTCCTTTGGGAAAATGAACATACTTTATTTCGTAAATTTTCGAGTCTGGCTCCCTAGCTAGTCGTCAGACGTGTAGTATATGTGAAGAAACAGTCAAAACTTAAACATGCCCAAAAAATCGATATTGTTTTGTCAGGGCTGAGGATGGGTCAACGCTGTAGGCTGACGTCACATCTTGATTGGCTATCAGCTTTTTCATTTTTCTCTGAGATTTGTGTACATAGCGTCAAGATCGATGTGCCGATTGATGCATGAATCATCAGAGTAAATGGCCTCTAGGAATTCTTAGCCTTTCTTATGTGGCAGGTACCGACAATGCGTGTTTTATCCCAAGCGAATTTGTTCCCAGTTTCGAGCGTATGCATGACGACTTGAGCTAAGTGGTCCCGCCTCTTTACTGTCAATTGGTGTTCATGTAGGCGGTTTGATCCCAGCACATGTATATATATACATATATGGATAAGGTGATACCGACAAAGACGAGGGAGACCGTAATGACCACTTGTAGCTTTTAGCCATCATCACACACTTATACCCAGTCCCAATTGTGAACACCTGATATTCGAACCTGGGATCTGTAGCCATGAAGTCGAACGCTCTACCAATGAGCCACAGACTCGCTTTCCTGTCGGGCGTGATCGGGAATATTAATTATGGTAGATGGGGACCCACCGATCAGGGTACGGAACATGCTTGTCTTTGTCGGTATCATCTTATCTACATACGGTGAGTGACCTATCTCATGAAATGTTGGCTGAAATTCTGAAATGCGTTTTCGATTAGGAAGGATTACTTGGTCGCGGTTGTGATAATGATTATCTTGAGGCATACTCTTATAAAATTTTGGACTCGGCAGGATGTCGGCTTTAAAATGCATTTCTTTTCAATCTCCTGTAGAAAGCGTGGTGGGTAAAAAATGACTACCTAAGTAGCATGCGTTTTTCCCATTGATTTTCGCTGGTCTTGGAAATTCAAATATATTTTACAAAAACCACAAACAAAAATATGCTTTCGTTTAGTCAATCACTAGAGAATCACGTCTTCTTTATATTTTATACTTAAGGAAGGAGTATAATTAGGTTTTAAAAAGTTTCTAATTATGAGACTTTTTAAGACCGCGATATGTCCATTCACATAGCATCGTACCTGGACGTTTACCACTGCTCCTCATGAAATGTACAACATGGTCCGCATCCACTGCAAAATTTTATGGACCCTGTATGATATCTCTTGAATGACATAGAAAAATATGGGATTTTCTTTACGCGGAACGCATGCTCCTTGTAGAGTGTAATCACTAAGCGCTAATGCAACGAATGATCAGGCTCCAATTTTTTCGGCAATTAGACAACTTTTTTAAAACCTAATTATACTCCTTCCTTAAGTAGAAATATAAAAAAGACGTGATTCTCTATTGATTGACTAAACGAAAGCATATTTTTGTTTGTGGTTTCTATAAAATATATTTGAATTTCCAAGACCATCGAAAATCAATGGAAAAAACGCATGCTACTTAAGTAGTCATTTTTTACCGACCACGCTTTCTACAGGAGATGGAAAAGAAGTGCATTTTAAAGCCGACATCCTGCCAAGTCCAAAATGTTAGAAGAGTATGCCTTAAGATAATCAGTGTCACAACCGCGACCAAATAATCCTTCCTAATCGAAAACGCATTTCAGAATTTCAGCCAACATTTCATGAGATAGGTCACTCACTGTATATAATTAGTTGCCATGCGACTGCCTGCGAGGTCCTAGTTTGAGCTCCATGGCACAACCGGGCAAGCGCGTCCCGAAACCTGATCGGTGCGCGTCCATCTACCATTGTATATATGTATATGTAGGCAGAATAGTATTACCGACAAAGACAAGGGAGACTGGAATGGCCATTTCTGGCTTATTAGCCGTCGTCAGCCAGCCATACCCAAGCCCGAAGTGTGCAACACCCGAGCCTCGAACTCGCGACCTGTTGGTTTAGAAGTCCACGCCTTTACCCACCGGGCCACGAGCCCGTTGCCCTGCCGGTTTTCGATCGGGAATATACAATGATAGGGGACGCTCGCCGATCGTTCAGAAATGGCCATTCCAGTCTCCCTTGTCTTTGTCAGTAATACTATTCTGCCTATATATCATGCGCCGCTGTGCGGCTGCTGGTTGGGCTCGAGAGAGAGCCCTTAAGGCACAACGGAACGAGTGAGTTCCGTATGAACGATCGGTGAGCGCCCCCTACCATTATATGTATATGTATATATACATACATATCAATTTGCGTGAAGGTCCGAGATCCAGATATATTACCGTGTATATAATCCCCCGAGGAAGGCGAAGAAGAGAAAGAGATTTCATGGACCAGTTTTTATTCAAACTGACGTTTCGGAAACTCCCTCGTTTCCATCATCAGACTCGTTAGCCGGCGTTTCCTTCTGGCCTTGATTTGTTCAGCCTTGCCGCCTGCCTCGTATTATAACCGTGCGCAGCGCACGTATGTTGGCTGGCCCGTTTTCTGTTTGCTGATTGTGGTCACTCTGATCCCAGCCATCGGCGGACTGGCGTGCCTTGTGTCCCCCTCACGCCTGACATGGTTGTCGCTGCGTTGACGTGCTCGTTGACCTTCCCCGTGCCCGTTGCCCTGAAATGAGTCTGTCAACAATGACAAGGGAGTCTGGAATGACCATTTTGACAGCTTACGGTTAATAAGACAGAAATGATTATTTAAGTCCCCATTTTCTTTGTATATAGTATCCTGCAGCATATATTACTAGCCGACGTGTGACTGCCTGCGATAACTTTACATTAATCGTGTACCGGAACCCAATCGCTGAACGCGTCTCCAGCATATATATTAGATATCTCGGAGTACTAGTTGGCAAGCACACTTTTGATTAATTCTGATTAAGCCAGTAAATTTACCTGGTAATCGCGTCAAGTATTTACTTGAATGACAATCATTTGTGTTAGCTTTGATAAAATTATTCCGAGACGGTTATTTAATAGGGTGCCCAGAAGAAGCATGCATGATTCACACTGTGCAATTCTACTAAAATTAAAGGCACGTTACTAATGCAGAAGGGTGATCATGGGGTAACAGAAGCAGCAATAAATCCGTTTCCTTGTTCTTTTATCAGAAACACGACTATAATTTTGCCCAGGTTGAACAATGCAAATGGTTAACAGTTATCCTTTTTCTTAGACGTTGATGTCACTGCTTTGAAGGATTGGGTAAGTTGTAAAACTTGGTGTTTTACATAAATAATACACCCATGCAGTCCGTCATTTCTACTCCAAATGACATTTTTTGCTTTTAGGGAGAAGAGGAAATATTGCAATTCAAGGAGAAACTTTTTACGCTGGTGAGTCTCAGACTGAACGAATACGTAATGCCACAAACGTAATGGAAATTAGTCTCTTTGCCTCCATCTGATAAAGCCCAGATGTTGCACTTTACGCTTCATGAACAGGACTTAACCGGTACACGGTCGGACTTCGATATTAATAAACAGCTCGTCAACTCTATCTCAAAAAAGACCAGAGCATTTTAAAGACTTCTGCAGAAAGGTTAAGTTGCCTAGAGAGTAACAGCACATTTTTCATCGATATATGCGAATAGGCTTTGAAATTTGACCACGGATTCCTCTTAGATACACATAATCTTAAGAGTCAATGTGTGCGTTTTCTTCACTGGCAAATACGTCGGCAGACTGCAAATAATGACTTACTCAACTTTAGTGGATGCCTATTGAAAACCTATATGTTGAAGAGATTTTGAAATAAAATTGTCGAGATAGTTTCGGTAGTCTTATGATTTCTCACTGAACGGCAAAAAAGAGCAGACGCTGTGGTAGTCAGCTGAAATTGCAGGTGATACTCGATAAACCCCAAATGGTTTTCCATTTACAGCTTTGGAAGTTTGTAAACGCAATTTCCGGAGTTCCCAGAATGAGAAAGCAGAGCGAAAGAATGCAGAAGGGCCTCGCCGCCCTCGGACCCTGGGTGAAAAAGAAGACAGTCTCTCCGAAAACCAGAATGATACTTTGGAAAACAATCGCCAATCTAAAAACCTTTGGGTAAGCATAAATACAATGGATGAGTTTCTCAAACACTTTTCTAAGTTGACAAATTAACTCGGAGACGGTGAAAATAGATGTCTAGCAAAAGACTACAGACGGTAGACTGTGAGATAAGTAATATGATCTCACAGAATGTCTCATATGTTTAAACTCATTTGCTGTTTTCCTCTTAATTCTCCTATCTTCAATGTAATGTCCTTATTTACACCACTAATACGTCCCTTAGCAAGGGCCCTAGATATAGTTGCCTCCAAAATAAATGTCAGTGGACGTACACCCTTTAACGCTTCCCTCGAATGTTGGCGCTCACTTTTGTCATGATTGCCCGCTAAGACTAATTTTAATGTGTACTACTAGCAAGGATAATTTGCTGCATAAAAGCATTCGTTTCATTTGCGTTTATCTTTGAACTAGCTGTAGTAATTTGTAATGGCAATTACCTTTATGGCATGGTAGACTGTAATTTTTTTTATTGAAATGCAGTATTCTTGATTTATTTTATTGCCCCTAAAACGTACACTCATAGATGGCAAAGGCTGGTAGTTTCCCCCTTATAACAAATACTTTGTTCTCCTTTAGCGCGTCAGCTGACGTGGAGACAACCTACTACCGACTGAAAAAAGTGTTAGACGACTTAAAGGAGGACATTTCTGACGACGATTTGGACGTTGCAGTGCGACAGGCACTAATAGGAAGGAGGCTATCACGTATAAGTGTGGCAAGCAGTGAGGAAGGACTGGGCGAGGACGAGGAGAAGGAGGAGGAAGATGAGGAGGAGGAGGACGTTGATGAAGTTTGTACCTGCTATATGTGTCTAATGCGTTAACGTGCTCCTGCCGCGTAGCTGAACTGACGTGTCTACTCAAAGGCATAATCTCACTCATAGAACCCTCTGGCGCCACCTAAAATAGACAGCAAAGTTGTATTTAGTTGGTTTTGTATTCCTGCTATGCGAGTGAAATTAATGAGGCGAACTGCAGCAAGCTTCACGGTTGTGTGCGTACAAGCATAGTATTTATTTTTTTAAATTTGATAAAAACGGCAATGTTATCACTTGCCCATGCTAAATCGTAAAAGTGTAAACGTAAAAATTCAAAACCATGTCCTGGTGCCTTTAACCAGTAGTCTGTTTTCCCTCTGATGACGTATGTATAAAAAAGCACCGGCGTATTTCTTGTTTCTGTGGGTTATTGCCGATTACAGTAGGGCAACTGATTTTTCCGAGAAAAATCCTTTAAAATCTAACTCTTAGAACTCTTTTGCGGGAAGCACATAAATAGTCATGTAAACAGTTGTTCAAAAGTAAATACAGCTTTATTTATCCCTTAAAAAAGAATTTACAACCTTTCGAGTGGGCTCGCTTGAATACAGATTTTCTCATATATCAACAAAAAGTTGGGTTCATTTAATAAGTATATTATCTTTGATGAGATTACGCCATCCGGAATGAAGAAGCTGGCATGGGTTATGCGTTCATTAGGATTATCTCCACGACATAAACCACGTGGTCAGAACTTTTTCGCGCTGATTTATAAAAAGTTAAGTTCCTGCATAAGACATTCGGATGTTTGGCCTTGCAGATAACTTTATGCGAGTTATAAGACAAGCCACCTGATTTGAATCTTCCTGTAGTGCGGAACAGGATGAATTATGGAAGACAACGATTTTAGCGGTGTTAAGTAAGCCACGGCATACTAAGTTAGCAAAACAATAGAGCCTTGTACGGCAACGTCGATCTTCCTGTTTTAGATGTTCGAGTTTCATTCAAACCGCTCCGATGTATGCTAAGGACTTTTTGGCAAAGCGCTCCGGAAATATTATCTACTTTTTCAGATGTGCCAAAAATTCATCAGGCTGGACTGTAGGTTAAGGTATTTTATGCATTTCTCAGCAATAACCACTCGATAAAACGCACTTTTTTCAGGATGGTACACAGCAAGAGACGGATGGAGTAAAATATGACAAAGTGAAAGGAGCGGAGGCGAAAACAAGGAGGAGAGAAAAGAAGGACGGGGTAATGTTTCAAAATTAATAGCAAAAAAATATTACCTTTTAGAGGCTAAAAGCAAGTCTCG